GATCATCTACAGACATTGTGCTATCATATAATACTGATAATAATGAGGATATGCTTTGTCAGTCCTTTAGAAATCACCCGAGATACATACCAGTCAGTAGAAGAATAGGCACTTTCACTACAAGACTTTATAATTTGTTCGTTATACTGGAAGCACACGAGTATATCTACTGTTAAAAACGAACTTTTTTTTTTTGGCAATACACAAACATCATCAAATACATTAATAATGACATGCTTAAAACTTTATACATTCATGTAAAACATTCACTACTCAATTTTTATGAAACAGTCAAGCTTGTTTAATTAACCTAACTGTTTAATAACCATCCTAGTTTTTCTATCTATTAAAATTTATCTTCCATTAAACACTAGGCCTAACTGTAATCTATGGAAGAACAATTCCAATGCCATTGTATGCTTACATTCAAGACTGAAATTACCTTTGCCTAATGGTGATTGTGGACAAGTTGAAAGCATCAAAATTTGGCAATACTTTTCCTCCAATTAAACTGTCATAATTTGCCACCACCACTTCTCTTCGAATTGGTCTTATTAAAAAATCAGAATGTAAGTTTTTGTAAATGTGGTCGAATCTTGGGTAACAGATATATTAAAACTGTTAAACCAAACAGAAATCAATCAAAATCTGTTCAGACCATCTGTCAAAATAATACTTTGTTTCCTATGCATGCTTTATTGCTATAAATTATGCTTAAAGAAAACAACAAAAAAAAACAGTTGTTAACTGGAGGTGGTGCAGGAAAATTAGAACTTAAAACTGTGCTTTTCGGGAGAGTAAGTAATCCAGGTTACCAGGTGGTTTTCAATAAAATATTGTTCTGAATTTCCTACCACCCTATGAAGAGCTGACTAATCAAATAGATTACTTGAGCGGGTTTCAATAAATTACTCTGATGTTCAAATGCAGTTTAAAACACAACAACAAACATAAATTTTTAACACAATAGTATTTGGTAATGTTGCCCCTCCATAATATAGAATAAAAAGTTTGTACTCATTTATAATTTGTTTATATATAGTACATAAAACTATTTGAGTAAAGTCAAAAACATAATGTTCATTACAAAAAGAAAGCCTGAAATTACCAAAAGTAAAGAAATGAGTGAATTAAATCCACAAGTTTTAACTCAGCCTTCTGAGAAAATGGTGAGAGCTGTTTTTCAACTTCTACAGTATTTATTTTATTTATTTAATGGTAACAACAATTCAATTTTTAAGTAAATTCTGACTACTTTTCTTTGTTAATGGTAACAACAATTCAATTTTTAAGTAAATTCTGACTACTTTTCTTTGTTAATGGTAACAACAATTCAATTCTTAAGTAAATTCTGACTACTTTTCTTTGTTAATGGTAACAACAATTCAATTTTTTAAGAAAATTCTGACTACTTTCTTTGTTAATGGTAACAACAATTCAATTTTTTAAGAAAATTCTGACTACTTTTCTTTGTTAATGGTAACAACAATTCAATTTTTTAAGAAAATTCTGACTACTTTTCTTTGTTAATGGTAACAACAATTCAATTTTTTAAGAAAATTCTGACTACTTTTCTTTGTTAATGGTAACAACAATTCAATTTTTTAAGAAAATTCTGACTACTTTTCTTTGTTAATGGTAACAACAATCAAATTTTTTAAGAAAATTCTGACTACTTTTCTTTGTTAATGGTAACAACAATCAAATTTTTTAATGGAATTTAACTTCTCATGAACTGAATTATGAAAACAAAATGTTAGTTCAAAGTTGATAGCTTAGGTAATTTATTATCTGTTAAAAATCCATATGTTATCAGTAAGTACATAATCTCATTGTCTTTAGGTTCAATAATATTCCATTACAACAATTAAACAGGCAGTTCAACACTTCAAATAAATATTATATGGCTTTAAACAAACAAAATCCTTACTGTACTATTTACATATTACTCATGCTTATTTACATTTTAATTTGTTGTAACTTTTCAATTGTTTTTTTTAAAAGAAATTCCATTCCACTAAAGAAAAGTAGATAAATGAATAAATTAAAACCCATAATGTTATATATTTATTTGCTTCAGAAGCCATTATAAATGTAGACACTGAGTCATATTCTTTAAATGTGTTTTAGAAAAAAAAGTTTGTTTTCTATTTTTCCTACAAAACATTATGAAAAAGTAAAGAATTTTAGTATATATAACCTGTTCATAAACACCTGTAGTATGAAATTATAAAAGTCAAGCTGCATAGTAAAAAACTTATGCACCAGATACGACATTGATGCCCACTTAGGAAATGAAGAAATGTAGGTGAATCATCAAAAACTACATATTTAAAGTAACTATCTTAAAAACTACTTTCCTAGGGGGCTCTTAAGTTTCATCAGAAGCACAATGAGAACCATAAGTTATCCAAGAAAGTTTTGACATGGTGCAGGGGGTTTCAAAAACTGTCATAGAAAGCGTTCAATAAGCTTCTCATCATTCTCAATTAGCACATCGAACTTATCATTTTTACTGCACAGTGTTTATTGATTCTCATAATATCTTGCACACTGACATGCATTTTATTGAAACTACCAATCCCATATTGTTGAATGAGAGAGAGAGAAATAAATATAAATGTTAGTTTCAAGAAAATAGATATTGTTATTCAATGTAATAGGGCTTTGGTTTGGTTTGTTTTCAATTTCGCTCAAAGCTACACCTAATTTAGCAGTGAAAGACTAGAGGGAAGGCAGCTAATCATCACCACCCACCACCAACTCTTGGACTAATCTTTTGCAAATAAATAGTGGGATTGACTGTCACATTATAATGCCCTCATGGCTGAAAGAGCAAGCAGGTTTAGTGGGATGGGGATTCGAACCCACAATCCTCTGATTGGGAGTCAAGCACCCTAACCACTTGGCCATGCCAGGCCTAAAAGGGCTTTAAACACATGTATAATATGTAAATCATCTTCCATAAAACTCATGATTTTCAATGTGGCACTGATGAAATTTTGGACCTCTAGGATAAGTAGATTTTAAAATAAGATCGTTTTGAATACAGTGTTTTCTTTATAACTACCCCCATATAAGTATGTACAAAATATAACTGTTTCTCATTTTGCAAAATTATAGAAATGAAAGTGAAAAAAATAAAAATAGAAAAGAAAAGAAGAAACATAGGAACAAAGTTATCATAGTCTTGTTACATACGAGAGGAAGTTGCAAATTATTCAATGTCATTCACAGTTTCATAACAATGTTGAACTTTTAAGCTAACGGTTTTGATGAAAAATTTACAAATTTAAGTAAAAGATACTAAAAGCTTTCTCAGCTAAGAGGCATCCAATAAGTATGCAAAATTTAGAATAAATAAAGCAATTAACATATGTCTTAAATAAGCAAGGGATCAGAGCTATTTCATGATAATACAAATTAAAATGGAATGGTAAAAATTCAGAGACAACGATTTTATTCTGAAAATTTAAGTCACTCTTCTAACTTAATAGTCTTGATCATCGTAAGGATCCAAAGAAGAAATTAGAGCTTTCATGAAAGCTGCTGCTGCTAAGGCTGAATATGGCTGCCATTCCTTGTTCTTGGTTCCATCTTTGTAGTCCGATATTCCTCTAATGAAAACATAGTTGTCTTTACGATTCCCATAGATCGACTCCACAACAGCATCAAATTCTGAATCAAAGGCCAAAATACCCCACTGATGAGCAAATTCCTGCCTCACAGCATCATCCTTCATCAATGTCCTTCCAGATGCTACACCTCCAAAGTGAATCATGGACTTTCCTGGTTGTCGATATTCCATTGTTCCTTCAGGAGCTTGAGGGTGACCAACTTCAATGACATCCTTTCCTCCAATGGACATGAAAAGTTTGTCTGTGTCAGAAGAAGGTCGACTAAAATCAGCTTCTTGGCTGGCTAAGGTATCCAAGGCATGACAGATATATTCTTCCCATGGGCGCTGTTTAGCATCAATTAAACCCTGTGTCCAAAGCTGTTGTGCTGTCTGTTGTAAGCATAAATTTGGTGGACACCATTTCTTGATGTTATACTTGTCTGTAATTGTGCTACCACCTGCTGAAGTTTTACTTTCAGGAGAGCTCTTAGCTTTTTCACAATAGATGTAAATAAATTTATCACTCTGTCCATCAGGGGGCGTTGATATAACAACATCTCCCAACCGTACATGTTTAGAATAATCAGTGTAGTGGGGAACTCCTCCTCCAAGACCAACAAGAAAAACATATTCAACTTTCTGAAAGCTTCCTGTAAGAAAAAACAAGTCAATAAATTTTTAGGTTAGATTCTTCATCATAAATATGAATAATTACTTGACCGAGTATTAAAATATAATATCATGATAACTGATGTTAATTTTTTGAGAAAAAAATTGATTAATACTAATGCAACAAATATAACTCATAAATCATAGGACAGTGTTTTAAAACTATTAAGATAAATATTTGTAAGAATACTTGAAAATACTCAGTTTTACCTGGATTATTTTTTTACTGGGATAAATTAAATGGGTGGCATTCACCACAAACTATTTTGACTTTGATAAATACTGAACAGAAACAAAACTGCATACGAAATTTTCTATATCTTTCACTATAACATTGTACAATGTTACTACTGATATGTCCAACATAAAGGAATTATCTATTATGTTTACAGACTGGTAATTTAATAACTACTTTTGTATAAAAAATGAGGTTTATTTAAATATTGTATACAAAACAACCAATAAGAAAACAACAAGCTATTTCTGGCATTTTGAGATACTAATGAAATTGAATAAGGAACACTTTTTAATTAGATTCAAACTAAATCTGAGATATCATAATCCTTAATATAAATCAAAAACATGTTAAATAGTTACACATTTGTTTACTTTTTAAGAACGTAAGAAATAAATGAATTTCAGTAAAATATTTAGCACCATGTACTGTAAAATCAGTTTTTATAAAGTGTGTCACAAGACAGAATATAATTTTTTCTATACCTTGGATATCTAGCTTGTATTTTCTAAGTATTGAAAGATTCAATCATACAGTTAAAAATGTATAGAAAGCTTCAGAGATCACTTCCAAAGGAGCTTTATTTTAAAAACACCGACAACTTGTCTTGTAAAAAGTATAATTGTTACAGTTTGTTTGATTTGTTAAAAGTACAAAATATTAATATTTCTAATAGCTACTAGATCACACCCGTGACCCGTTGGGTCACCCACTATTCAGAGGTTATGAAGAATTCAAGCTAATTTCAATACGACACCGAAATGAAGGTTTATTTTAAGATAATTCAAGAAACGATATTTGATTGTTGATCGGGAGTAAAAGGAAAGACCATTTCATTTTTCAAAGAAGATGGGAACATTGACAGGGAAATAGATTTGAATGAAGACGTTTCGTAAAGAGCACGAACGATAGTGTGATGTAAAATTACTCATGCTAGAAATTTTCATAAAAGTGACCCGAAAAACGGCACTAACATTTTTGCTATATTTAATTACAGACAAGCAAACAAACAAACAATGTCATAATTTTAGTACTATATAGATTGCCACCAAGGTTAACAAAGGCAGAAACTACTAACATCTATGGTATGTCAATACAACTGTCTTTTCCAGTAGGTAATGCAGAATTAGTTTGGTGAAACATTGTATTTAAGAATTTTACTATTTCTCAACCTGTAACTACTTTTAATGAAGTTTCAGATTCAACTGAAAA